GTGCCAGTGTTTCCTAGTTAGTTTACTAATCTCAACTCAGCCCACTCCAACTCTCCAGGCTCAACCAACTCAGTATTATGGAGGCTCAAGCTCCAGTAAACTTGAACCTAAATTTCTGGAAATGATCATGCCTGGTTCATCTTGGTATCACCAGGTGAGAGAACTGTACATATGTACCGATACTTATTTATGCTGCAGATAGCAAGTTAAAAACACTCACTAATATGCCCATATCTTGATGTCTTAACACCATTCTTCAATTAAAAAAATCAGGACTCCTTGGAGAAGTGGTCAATTCCACAACTGTCTTAAGAAAAACAACATGGAGCAGCACATCAAAGGTGTCCAGGAGCCTACCTGAAAGAGCTATATGAACAAATAATAATGTTCATACTGGATTATAACCCAAAGTATAAAATAAATGTCCTTATGTCCATAGTGATAAAAATAAATACTTGAAAAATAAATGGGAGTGATGACTCTTCTTTTCAGAATAATTCCAAATAACAAATGTAGGAGAAATAAGGAAAAGAAAAATCACCATTAGAACACCACAATAATTGCAGCAGATGTGTTCCACTGATGGATGCTAAAATTAGTTGGACAATTTTAAGGAGAAACAGGATACTTGCATGGTCTGAAAGTATTTCCCCCCCAAACAAATTAATTAACTACAAAGAGAAAAAGATTAACTTTATACTGAAGAAATCTGGCAGATACCCCTTTATCACATGGTCAAGGTTAACATCACCAGCGATAAGACATATAAACATCATGTACTCCTGGTACTATGCACTGGGAAGGGTACATCACTCTGTGAGATTCCTCCCCCAAATGTACAGCTTAATCTAATCATGAGAAAACAACAGACAAACCTAAATTGAGGGCAGTTCTATAAAATAAGGGCTAGGACTCTTCGAAAGTGCCAAGGTCATGAAAGACACAAGAAATATTGACAAACTATCATAGATTGGAGGAAATGCTGGAGATTTGACAACTAAAATGCAATGTGGGATCCTGGATTAGATCCTAGCACCAAAAAAGGACATTACATTAAAAACTGGTGAAGCCAAATGAATTCTGTAATCTAGCTATGCACTGTACTAAGGTTAATTTCAAGTTTTGATACCTGCATGATGACTGAGTTGCAAACAGTAGGGGAAGCTGGATGAAGGACACATAGGAACTCTTTATACTACCTTTGCAACTCCACTATAAGCCCCAAATTGGTTCAAAGTTAAAGTTGAAAAAGTGACAAATGTCCTGTGAGTTCATCTAAGAAAATTAGGAAATATAAAGATCTGGAAAATCTTCAGAGTGCTACCAAGGGAGGAAACAGCATAACAGAGGAAAGGATTTTGGAGCCAAAGAACCTAAGAAAAATGATGAGGTTCTGAGATGAGATAAGGTGGCCCTAGAGGGGCTGGAGAATAACAGCAAGAGCTAACACCTGCCCACTGCTCAGGGCACCAGGCACGTTGCTAAGTGCTTCACATTCCAGCTGAGAAAAGGGACAGATGTGATGCATATACATGGGAGTACGAGTGTCACGGCTGTGACTAACAGAATATGAGGAATGAAGGAGAAGGAGCAATCCAGGATGACTCCTGGGTTTCTAATCTGAGCAGCTGGCTATGGGGGAGCAATACCGTTCATCAAAGTGGAAAACAGAATGGATTTGTTGGGGAGCAGGAAGATACGAAGCTCAGTTTGGGGCAGGTTGGTTACACGGTGGCTGTGGGACACCCAGGTGGGGATGTCAAGAAGGCGGTTAAAAAATAACCTTACAGCCTCAAAGAGAAAGCTGTTCTAGAAATACAGACCCAAGAGCAATTACTGGAGAGGCGATGGCTGGAACTGCAGCAGTGAATGAAATCATCCAGGAAGTGGGTACGAACGGAAAGGAGAAGAGGGCCAAGGATGGAAGACAGAAATCCCAGCCATAACGGAAAGAGGAGTGAATGAAGACTGAGGAGCAGGCATCTCTGAGTGGAGGAGAGGCAGGACAGCTTGAGGACGACACCAGCAGGCGGGAGGGGGACGAGACGTTCAGTCCAATGCCAGCAGAAGGGGAAATCTAACTTGGCATGGGTTGTCTTGGCAGGAAAAACTGATGGAAAGATGGGAGGCGGCCAGCCCATACCGTGGAGGGGAATGGCAAGCAGTGTGCAGAAGATATAGTGAGTCCAAACACTCTGGAGAAACTTGGCTGGGAAAGAAGGGAGACAGAAAATAGCCAGGGGGGAACTTAGGGCCACAGGGGTCACTCACAACTCTGTCTCCACACAGATCCCACCCAAGAGCCCCTGGTGTGTGTGTGTGTGTGTGTGCGCGTGTGTGCGTGGGTGCCTGTGTGTGTGTATTATTTTTTACTGCAAACAGGTTCTCTCCATCTGTGTATCCTGCTTATAGGTTTTGAATGTGCATGTCCAGACTTAGACCCATGTAATACCTAAACATAAGTTTACAAAAGAAGCATCACCTCTGTTGGGAATGACCTTTTCAAAATGAAGGATGAGATCTGAGTCTAATCTGATTGTACGTGATGCCTGACCCTAAGCTGCACAGATGCAATGTTGCACTGTTTTGTAACCATTCCCGGAGGCAAGATTACTTCATGACCACGGTCTGCTGCTCGGTGGCCACGCTCCACCCTTGCTTTGAAAGCCTAGCGTAGAACATTTCGAGACAGTTCCAGATCCTGACTAGAAATCTGCTGGAGGAGTTAAAAGGTGCAGTCACTGGGAGGCTCATGGCTTCTCTATGTCTACACATGCCAAAGTGTTTTCATTTCCTCTATGTGTTCAGTTGGAGTTTTCAAGCCTTTAAATATTACCACTCATTAATATTGATGTTGGGATACCAGATCAGTTTAGCTTCCTGGAAATTAGTAGATTTTATATTAGCCACTCATTCATTCATTCATTCATTCATTCAGTATACACTGATTAAGTGTGAGGTAACATGTGCTAGGCAACCTGATAGTGCTGGAGAAGTCTGGATCGATAAATAAGACGTGGCTCCTGCCCTTGAGAAGCCCACATGCATTTACACAAACATCTACAAACAACATGGAAAGTCTTATAATAAGGCATGTATATATACACATACACATTTGTGTCTACATATATATTTACATGTATGTGTGTGTGCACATATATTTGTATATATTCCCTCAGATGTATATAAGGGGTGGATGCAGAAGAATACATGATTATCTCTTCTGGATGTGTCTTGGTTGAAAGGGATATAAAGGGAGGCACATTTGATTGATTCTAGAGATTGGAAGGATGAGCAATGTCGCTTGCCCAGGTGGATAAAAGAGGAAGAAGGGCCTTAGAGGCAGAAGGGCAAAGTATTGGGGTGTTAATATGCATGGCATTTGTAATAATGTAGCAATGGTATACATAACAAAAGTAAAACCAACAATGACGACAGATATTTACTGGGCACTTACTATGTGTCAGGCACTGTTCTAAGCACTTTACATGTATTACCACATTGCACGAGCCACCAGTGTGTGAGTGACCGCAGGTGGGGCTGTAAGGACAGCCAGGGGTCAGAAGATGAAATGTTGTGAATGTTGTGCTAAGGGGTCTGGACTTCGTCTGGCAGGAGAGAGCCACTGAGAGTTACAACAGGTACTGTCTGGCAAGGCTAGACCTGTGATTTTAAAAGGTTCCTCTGCCAGCTGTGTAGGGAATAGGCCGGAGGAGGTGAGATGGGAGGCAAAGAGATGAGTACAGAAGCTTTTTCAAGAGTTCAGACAAGAGCAGATCAGACGAGTGAAAATGGCAAGGGACGAATTCAGGAGATTTTTGAGCAAGAAGAAACGGGCCTTGGTGACCCCTCCCCCCCATAATCATGGGGCAGAGTGGAAAGGGGACAGAGAGGATTCTGTTAACTCAGAAGAGAAACATCTTTAGGAAAGTGGGTGAATTTAGTCTAAGGTGCACCCAGGTAGCGGTGCCCAGTGGGTAGTGAAGAATTGGAGGAGGAAGTTTGGGCCAGAGATAAAATGAGGAACAGAGGGGAAACCCAGCTTCACTCAAGCAGAATTGGTCCTTTCAACCCTGAGATCGCCCCTGCATTCTCCTTCCCCTCCCCTTTGGCCTTATATTTTCATGGACCTGTGAACATAAACAGCTGTGAAGTGACACAGTCCTCTTCACAGAGGCAGCACACACAGACACACCCAGGCCCCAAACAGCACAGAGGCACATAAAGGCACTCAGCCTGGAGAGGGACACAGAGGTCTGTAGATCAGGGAGGAGTGCATGCACGCATGCACACGCACACACACACACACACACACACACACACACACACACATGTCCACAGATCACAGAGGCACATACACATGCCTGTCCATAGATGACAGAGATCTAAAAACAAGTACACCCACACGTATGTAAATATACCTACAGAGGCCACAAATGCACAATTTTCCAGAAAGGATGAAGCATGTTTTCCAGCTATCCAGTGGGGTCTTTTCATCCACCCAGCTGCTGACCCTTGACTGCTGGGGGACCAGGCCCACCTGGCCATCAAGACTCCCTCTGCAGGGCCGGCCCAGTGGCGCACTGCTACAGTGCGCCGCTTGGGAGTGTGGTGGTGCTCCTGCCGAGGGTTCGGATCCCACATACAGACCGGTTCCCGCTCACTGGCTGAGCGAGGTGCGGGAGCAACACCGAGGGTTGTGATCCCGTTGCTGGTCCTGGTCCGGTACGGGGGCGATACTGAGGGTTGCGATCCGTTGCCGGACACAGAAAAAGACAAAAAGGAAAAAAAAAAAAAAAAAAAGACTCCCTCTGCAATTTGCTCAGGTCAATCAGATTCCAAGAGGACATCTAAAGCCTTCACTGATCTGTCATCCCACAGTCTACACATTCATCGCCAGGTAAGCCGCTGTGAACTCAGAACAACTCCTAGCTAGCAGTAAGTGATCCATCTGCCTGCAGGTTAAAAACATCCACTGCAACATTCAACTTTCCTCCTACCAAAAAGCTTCTGCAAGACTTGTCCATCATATAAATCTTCAGCCAGGTCTTTCACAATGATTCTTTCTCCAACCAATACGTCATTAATCCAGTCAATTAATACCTACAGAGAGAGAGAGAAAGAGCAAGAATAAGAGAAGAGTCATGGAATATTTTCTTATAGACCAGCTTTCTTATCCCGGACTATTAAAATCCAAATGAACTTCAGATTTTAAAAGCAGAGCTATCCACATGACCCAGGATGTGGACAGGTGGCTGTGCGTGTGAGTCCAGTGGCCCTGTTAATTTTCAGGTGTAAGCTCTTCTAGCGCTGGTGGCATCGATGTCCCTAATACCTTCTGGCCCCTACCACTCCTTACCCTAATAGCAAGCAACATTCACACAGTGTGGCTTTGTGCCAGACAAGGGTATGATATGGGCTTTGGAGTTACACTGAAGGGTTGAAACGCCAGCTCTACCTACTGTCATTTATGTGTACCACTGTCATCTATGAACGTGTGTGTGTGTGCTCCTCTGTCATCTACATACCTGTGTGTGTGTTTGTGTATCCCTACGATCTATAAATCTAAGGCAAGCTAGTTATCTTCTCTGAGCCTCTGGGTCCCCATCTCTAAATTCAGCATTAAAGTACCTCCCACATCAGGTGGTAGAAAAGAAATCACTATGGCAAGGACCAAATACTCAATAAAAGGCAGATCTTATTAATAAATAAAGCACTCTCCCATTATGACATTTGGTGAGGTGGTTACTGTCACCCCATGCTCCGAAGGATGAATCAGCACAGTAGTAGACAGACGTGCCCAAGGTCACAGAGCTAACTGGGGTGGAGACAGGAGTGGAGCCCTCGTCCATCTCACTCTGAAGCTCGTGTCCTCCTCATGGTGCCAAGCCGCCTCTCAGAGGGCAGGGCAGTCTCCTCTGTCTTGTCTGGCCTTAGCAGCTGTCACGACCCAGAGCACACGGTGTGCCAGGCATGGAGCAGAGGCGTTGTATGTGATATCTCATTTAATTAATCCACACAACACCCCCGGGGAAGCATGTACTTATCTCCGTTTTTCAGGTAAGAAACCCGAAACCTGTATATTGCCTTTTTTATTTGCGCTTTTTTGTTGTTGTTTATTAAGACATTATCTATATGTAATCAAATTAGTCAATTTTAAGTCTACAGTGGTGAGTTTTGGTCATTGTGCACAGTTGTGTAACCCCCACTACAATCAAGATACAGCATAGCTCCCTCCCTCTCAGACGCTTTTCTTTGTACTCAATCTCCTCCCCGACCACAGGCCTCAGGGAACCACTGAGGTTTTGCCTTTTCTATGATTTCATATAAACAGAATCATACAGAACATCGTCATTGTCTTTTGCATCTGACCTCTTTGCCTTAGCATAAATACGCTGCCTGAACAACACCGGCAGTAGCCAGGCAGGCTTTCCACCCCAGGGGGGCTGACAATGGAACCTGGAGGCAGCACAACACATTTTCTACTGCCCCAGGGCAGGGTGATGGTAATTATTGAGTGCCTACTATGTACCAGGCATTGCCTTGTATCCAACACAGTAAGACCCAGTCTCTGTTCTGGAGAGGCTTGCAGGGAGAAAGCCAGTCAACTAGAGGATTACAACATAAAGCATTCAAAGCCTTTGGGGAGGGGAGTACATGGTGCTAAGGGAGAGGAGAGGCCCCTCTCAGGCTTGGAGTGGGCAGGAGGGAGCAGGAATGAGGGGAAGTTTTCAGAGAGAGGCTCGTGTGCTCGTGTTTGAGGAGACTCTTGGAAGACTAGGGGTTGACCAGGAAGACTAGGATTTCAAGGTGGTCAAAGCGGCTTAGATGTGGAAAGTCGACCCTCTCCCTGGGGTGAGGAGGTGGCCTGCAGTGCAAAGCTGTGCCTTTGGACAGCACCCAGAGCTCAGGCCTATGTGCAGCAATGCGTCTCCAATCTTCCACTCCCACCAACTGGGCCTGGGTGCAGGTCTGGGTCTGGGAGATCATCACTGAAGCCTAAACCACTCGGAGCCCATTCTGACCACATCTTCACCCTTGGAGGTCTCCCAGGAAGCAGGACCACAGCCCATTCCAGCACGTCTAGTGCCATCTGACAGGCAGAGCCTCAACCGTGGCTGTTCCACCCTCTCCCTGCACAGCAAGATGAAGGCTTGGGGTCCTTCTGGGCCAGGGCAGCCCTCTGTGGATGCAGCAGAGACTGTGATGGGCCAGATACATGACATTCATAACCCAGCCCACCTGTGGGGCTCAGGTTATGGCCCTGGCCCAGGCTGCCTTCTTTCTGCTAGTTCCCTGGACTCTGGGGTAAGGGCACTGACTCAGGCAGGCAACAGACAGACAGGACATTTATGCACCTCCTCTGAAAAGACTGCCCTTAGTCCTCTAGTCCCTAGTGAGATGGCCCAGCTCTCACATGGGTCTCTCCACTAAGGAAGCCTCAACCATGGCGACGACTCCTGACTCTGCTGCTGAATAGCCTGGCTGCTTTTGAGTTTCCTACCCACCCACCTACCCATCATCCCTCCCTCCATAGTCCCTAGTGAGATGGCCCAGCTCTCACATGGGTCTCTCCACTAAGGAAGCCTCAACCATGGCGACGACTCCTGACTCTGCTACTGAATAGCCTGGCTGCTTTTGAGTTTCCTACCCACCCACCTACCCATCATCCCTCCCTCCACCTCTCCCCATCCATCCAGTGTTTATTAAATACCTGCTATATGTGACATTCTGTGCTAGATCCTGGGGGTACAGTGATGAAAAAAGACAGTCTCTAACCCCAAGAAGCTCACCATTGAATGAAGGAGACAGCAAAGTGTATATAGTAGCTGTAATACCCTGTGGAGACTACAGAGGCAGAATCAGACAGGGACCACAGCAGCACAGAGTAGGGCCGAGCGAGGGCACTGTCTGGGCAAAGCACGGCAGTGTGGGTGCGGGCAGCAGGTACGGTCTGGTTGGCTGAGCAGGTCAGGTGTCCCAGTGCTGCCAGGCAGGGGACCATGTGGGGTTGAAGAGGTGGCTAGAGCAAGGACACCAACCACCACCTGTAGGGGCGGGGGCTTCAACCTGCAGCTGATAGGAAACTACAGACAGGTTTGGAGCGGGGATATGGTATATTCAGATCTGCACTGTGAATGAATCTCTCTGATGTCCCGTGCCTTTTTGTCTTATTTTAAGTGCAGCCTGGTGAAGTTGAAGAGGAAGAACACAGAACAGGGAATAAGAATGGGGAAGAAATGAACAGTTTTGGAGGGTGACTGCCACTGTGCCAGGGACACTATGCACAATGTTTCATTTCATCTCACTTATTTCTGTTTGAATTCCACCTCCTCCACTCAGCTTGACTATACTTAAGGCACTTGGCTTTTCTGAGACTCAGTTTCCTCATCTGGAAAATGGGGATGATACTAATTCCTACTTCACAGAGTGTTTTTGAGAGTTGTCGAGAAAACCAGTGAAAGAATTTTGTGAACTTGAAAATCCTGGCCAATGTCTGCTTATTTGTAGTGACTTCCCTGGTGCTGTGGCAACCACCACTCACTGGACATGTGTCAAGTACCACCCTTATGCTATACCACATGCTGCCCGAGGGCAGGGACTGCTGTGACTTTTCACCCTCTGCAGTGGCTACGTGGCGCCTGCACAGAGCACGGGGTCTGCAGATGCCTGCTGAGTCTGCAGGGCACCTGGAGCCCCTCCTAATTTCTTCTTACCTTCATCAGTTCTTGAAGTTTGGGGTCACTGCGTGAGTTTGGATCCACCATCGTTCGTACTTCGTTCTCCTCTTGAAAAGAAAAGGAGTTCAGTGGGGGTGGTGACACGTGAGGGCGTTAAGCTAATCCAAAGGTACAAGAGGCACAGTTACCCAGCATGGTGTCCTCAGGGTCCAGCTCGAAGGGGATCGGGCTGAGGGGCAGGTTGATGGCGTTCATTCCCTCCTCCTGAAGCTCTGATACTGAAAGGGAAGGGAGAGCTTGGTCACGTTTTGATGGACTGGTGACAAGGGGTTGGATCTCTGTAGCAAACGTGTTTGATACTGATATTGAGAAAAAAAATCCACTAAGGTTATTACAGCTTTTTCTCAGCCTGCAATTGATTCATGGCCTCTCTGTGCTGAAAGGACCTAATTGTCCCCTTCAGCTTACCTCTTCCAACTGTCACTTTCCTCGGAAAAATAAGGAGGTCTCAACAGCACAGAAATCTGCCTCCTCTCAGGACAGATTTCGGAATCAACAAGAGAGGTGGGCAATGACTCCTTTCTTAAGCCTCTGCTGTCTGCCCCCTGCTAGCCCCTCCTTCTAGGCTCACTGTCTGGTGCACAGTGAGTGCCCAATCCCTGTCTGCTGGCCGGGTGAGTGAGGTCACCAATTTAAGGCTACATTTATGTTGTAAGCCATTTCCACCCTCGGTTCAGTCCTCCTCTGACTTCTCTCCTGCTTTGGCTTCCCTAGGATGCTTTTCTGATTATGTGCCCTCCCTCCTTCCCCCAAAACCAGCTGCTGCCCAGGACTGTCTCAGTCCTAGCCCCTCGCCTGGGCTCTGGTCCTGTCCCTTCAGTGCTGGCGAGTTATGGGACCTAGGGCCAGGCACCCCACCTCTCTAGGTCTGTTTCTTCAGGGGAAAATAGAGTTCAACTGGATGACCACTATGATCTTTCATAGTTTTCAAATCATAGAAATCTACAATTCCACCTTCCTCAAGAAAAATAAAAAAGTCAACGACCACTAAAGATGACCAGCTTGCTCTCCTCCAGGTATCCAATCCCCACATGGAGTCTGAGTAAAAGAAATTCCCACTACAAAACCAGTTGTGCAATGGATGCTTGGTGAGTGACCTTGGATTACCCCTCCTAAAAGCAATGGCTTCAATTCCCTTACTTTTCGCCAATGCAGCACAGAAAGACCATTTTCTCTGAAGGCGTTGATCACCAAGAGGTTCTTAAAGAGCTAATAGGGCAGCTGCAATCGACCTTAATAAAAGCTACATCCCATCTTTCCATTTTATTATTTTTTTCATCGACTCTGGCCTCACCAGTTGCCAACAAAGACTTGCATGAACTCTTAAGCATAAGGCAGCCCCTTACAAAGAGTTCTTTCACATCAGCAAGCTCACTGATAGCTGCAGTTGGACAGGGAATGAGACTGCCTAACAAAGACAGCAAAACACGCTCTACCCTACAGAGACACAGCGTGTATTATGAAGCGCGTATTTAGTCCCTTTGCTGTGGGCCCTTGACATTCATATGAGAAATCAGCCCGTCGCTGTCTTAAATCTCCAAATTCAGACACTTACATTCCATAGACTTCTCCTCCATGAAACATAATTGAAAATTGTAAGTGACACCTTCAAAGCTTCAATGGTTGTGTAAGTTTAGGATCACATTTGTTTTCCAGCTAAGAACTGCTTCCTTAGACTTGTATAATTTAATATCACCCCTAAAACTAGCAGTTTTGCTTCTCTTCCAGGCTATTTCTCTCAAGGGAGCACAATTTCCCTTATATAATAAGCTCCGCTGTGCGTGCAGTGGGTGTGGAAATAAAGTCACGCTTAAATGTGGATGCAAGGCTGAGTTTACCGGCCAGTGGAGAAACATGCTCCTGCCCCGAACCGGCTCTCCTCCAGCTACATGCTCCCCTCCATCTGCGCTGTCCACACAGCAGCCACTCGCCACGTGAGCTATATGAATTTCAATGAATTCAATATTCACTCGTTTCGTGGCACCAACCACACTTCAAGCCCTCAATGGCCCACAGGTGGCTGGTGCCTACTCTACCGGCCAGCACAGATGTAGAACATTTCCACCACAGGAGGTGCAACTGAATGGTGTCCTAGGTGGTCCCATTTATCTCAATGCTGATGATGTCCACGTTTAAGTGTCCAGCCCAGGCCTGAGCTTGAGCTCCAGGCTTACACATCTAATGGCTGACTCGATGTCTCTTCATTTTCAAATTTACACATCCGAAACAGAACTTGTGATTTTCAACACCCTCACACCCACCATCACAGCACTGAAACAAATATGTTCCCCTTTTCTTATCCTCCTCAGAAGATGGCACCACTGTTTACACAACAGTTCTAGTCAAAATTCAAGGAATCATCTTTAAGTTCTCCTTTTTTCTTGCATCCAATACATTGGCAAGTTTTGTGGGTTCCCCCTCCAAACCAGGACCTGACTCTGACCACTTCTCACCATCTCCCTACCACCATCCTGCTTCAAGCCAGGTTATCTTTCACCTGGACTACCAGCCAGAACCACCTCCAAACCTGTCCACTGCTGCTTCTTGTAACCACCCCCCACTTCCCAAAGCACAGTCAGAACATTCTATAAAAATGTAAGTAGGATCATACATTCTCCTGTTTTAAGATTTCCTGTGACTTCTCAACATACTCTGAATAAAACCCCAACTCCTTACTATGACCTACAAGACCCTCTGACTAGCCCCCTGCCTCCTCCTATTTCATTTTCTTCATAGCTTTCACCAACTATCTGAAATAATTATTATTATGTGTGTTATCTATCTCCCCCATCAGAATGTAAACTGTGCGAGGACTGGTACTTTTTCTCTTTTGTTCACTATTACATCCCCAAAGAGGCCAGATGGTATAGTGGTCAGGAGACAGACCACCTAGATTCAAATCCAGGATCTACTGCTTACTAGCTATGTAACCTTGGGCAAGTTCCTCAACTTCTATGCCTCAGTTTCCTCATCTGCAAAATGGGAGTGATAATAGTATTGCCTACCTCCTAGGGTTGTTGAGCAGATTAAATGAGTGAACATATATAAAGTATTCAGAAGACTGCACCTGGTAAGAGCTATGTAAACATATGCTGCATTATTATTACTTAAAACAATACCTCAAGCATAGTAAGGACTCAAGAAATATTTGTTGAATAAATAAAACCGTTAAAACCACCCTTCAACTACACAAGCTATGAGTTGAGGCAGAATTTGCCAAAGCAGTTTATTTATTTATTTATTTTTTGGTGGGTGGCCGGTATGGGGATCTGAACCTGTGACCCTGGTGTTATAAGGCTGTGCTCTAACCAACTGAGCTAATCAGCCAGCCCCTGCCAAAGTAGTTTATAGGATGCAAAGGATTTCACCTTGTCCCCAGGGAAAAAATACATTTACATTTTGTAAGAGAAGAAAAGCCGCATCTGTCCCAAGACCATCGTATAGCCAAAGCCAATTTGTGACTGTGAAGGTCATCTCTAAAGTGTGACTAGAAATGCAATATTTGCAGCCAGGACTCCTAAAGGTGAGTCTGAATGGGATCTCTTTTTACCTGTAGATCATTGTTAAAAATGTTTTCAGATGAAGAACCCTCAGAAACACTCCCCTCTGGACTGCCTCTTTAATTCACACACAGACACATAACAAACCCGAGAAGAAAGGCTGAGATATGTTTGCAATTGGAAATGTTTTTTTCAGGAAATGATTTGGTACAGGAACATCATTCCCATTCCATTAACTGCTGACTCTGAGCCAACTGTTTGTAAAAGTGAATATGCAAACTGCCCAGTTCAGGCCTGGCCCCCGCCCCATGGGGCCCCATTAGTGGCCACTTTCCCCAAACAACCCGCCTGCTTTGGAGGTTTCATTTCTATTAAACCAAAGCAGGACCCAGCAGAAGCCCCTTGCCAATCCCTGTGCTCTGAAAGAGAAAGAGCTGCAATTGAATTTCCTCAGCACAGAATATGAATATGATGTTTATCCCCCGAACCTCCTCTAACAATCTAAAACTAGGTCTGAATGTGCAGCCCTCAGTGTCTCACAGCGGCATTAGTCATAACTTAATAAACAGATTAAATGCCCAGCTGAAGGTCGGGCTTGGGAAAGCAGGGAGACTGTCTCAACTCCTGAAGCGCTCACCACGAGAAAGGAGGCTGTATTTTCCAGGAAACGGTGTCAGGGTCTGGCTGCAAAGCCAAAAGTACAGGGATGGCCTTTGGAGTTTGAAAAGGCTGGATTTGAATCCTTGTTCTATTTTTACCAGCTATGGGACCTTATATAAGTGACTTAACCTCCCTGAAATTTGGTATAAAACAATTCCCTCTAAAACAAGGGTGTAGCTGTCACTGCTGGTTTCTTCTCCAATATTCTTTTTCTCTGCTGAAGGAACCCTCATTTTGTTCCAGTATACACTTCTCCCTCCTATACCTCAAGGTGAGATCTCGACTGGTTTAAATCATGATGATCGCAATCCCTGTAGCAGGGATTGGCTCAAGACTGTCATGTGATACGATTCTGATCAATGAGCTGTGAGAGGAAATTTCTAGGAGCTTCTAGGAATAGTTCTCCTCCATTTAAAGTGGAGGCCCAAGGAAAAGAAGGCATCTTTCTCCTTCTAATCATTATTGTGTTAAGATGTTATGCCTGGATATGTGCAGCCATTTTGTAGCCATGAGGTGAGTTAGCCTAAGACAGAAGCTAATATGCTGAGTTGGAAGAGAAGAAAGAAAGCAAGAAAAGGGATTCTTGTGTTTACTGTTAAGGTGCCACCCCTGAAGCCACTCTAGCTCTATCTTTCTTTCTTATTATAGGAGACATCATAAATTCCCTTATTGTTTAAGCCAGTAAGTAGGTGTTTTCTGGGACTCCCTAGTTGATATGTGGGGACAGAGGGATTATAAAGTAGATAGGCGAATAGAGTAGGTCTGCAACGAATGGTAATTTCCCCTCCTTTTGTCCATGAGGAGCAGAATAGATACAGGCATCTCTCATACCCCAGAACAGGTCTAGGGACTCAAAGAACGCCAGGGGAAAACAAGTATGGAGAGGAGAATGGACAGAGGTTTCCAAAAGTAAAAAAGGGACCATTTATGCAAGGCCAGTAAACTTCATTCATTCAACTACTAACCGTTCCTGGGCACCTCATCTGAAGCACATCCCATGCCAGCACCAGGGACACAGGCTTAGAGATTTGCCCTGGGCCTGCCTTCATCTGCTCACT